TCCCCGGGTGAGAGAGAGGGAGCAGCCCATCTCCGGATCAGGCCCTTGCTTCTGAGACAGGGTCTCATCAGTGCTAGAAAAGAGTGAGTTTCTGGAGAGGACAGGGGGGGGGAGAGGAGGACTGATGGGGCTGCTACCTGCCTTGCTTCAGTCCTGCCCCCACCCCATTTTGGAAAAATCCCCGCCCCTGGATGTCATGGCTTGAAGATATTTGAGGTGGAGAGAGCGGAGGGGTGTGTGTGTGTGTGAACCCACAGCCCCACATCAAAGACCCAGAGCCAAGGGGGGGGGAACACTTGCCACCCTCATCCTGCAACCGGTTATGTGAAACCTCCGTCCCCATCTCTGCGTTACAACTGAGCAGAATCAGCCATTCACCACCCGTTGCCCTGCACTACAGCTCCCATGTTCCTTGGCCAGGAGGCCCTTTCGCTTGGCTATTTAGGAGGGAAGTGGCTTCTCAAATGAAATCCAGCCATGGGGTTGACCCTCTGAGTGTTTGGGGGGACGGAGCACGCTGGGCCTCTGGGAACCAGAGTCAGGGGTTCAAAGGTGCTTCTTCAGCCGTGACCACTTTAAGCGGCCTGGACTTCACCTCCCAGAATCCCCCAGTCCCGACCTTGTCCCACTCCAGGAAGCAGCCCCGAAGTGAAGGGACCTCTGGCTTCTGCTCGGGGCCAGGAGTTGGGGGGGGGGAGCCCTGAAAGTGGTTTGGCAAGACTCACAAAGGAGCAATTGTTGCCTCCGTACCAGGAAGGAGCTGCTGTTGTTCCCAAAACAGCGCCCTGCAAGGTTGGATTCTTTACAACCTGGATTCCGGTTTGGCCACGTCTTTCCTTCCTCCTTCCTTCCCTCCCTCCCTTTCTTTATTCTTCCTTTTCTATGCCACCCATCTCACTGATACTGTCTCTCTGGGCCCCTTACAATATAAGAAAACCTTTTTTTAAAATGCCAGAAAACAATTAAAATGGGAGAAATGGAAGAGACAGGCTATAAACTACCATGCTGGCCATCCTGGGGGAGGGGGCTCCTCCCCCGGGTCAGCAGGGCCCTGTCGGGGTCCCAGGCCAAGCAGCTCTCATAGTTCCCATAGATGAAACCATTTAAAAGAACTTCAAGACAAAGATTTCTTCCTTAAAGAACATTTTATTTAGGAAACAAAATATCGGCACTTACATAGGTGAACCCAAGACTGAAATCCCCTCCCTCAGGCTACAAAGTAA